TGTCATGATGGAATTTCAGGTAGCTTATTATTTACTTTACAATACCATAGGTAGTGAAGGCAATAAAAGAAAACAGTCCTCATTCTCCATGAGCTCATACTGAAGTTAAGGAGCCTCTGCATGGACACAGCTAACAGCTAGCCACTACTGAAAGTCTCTAAATGAAGAATTCTGAGAAGAAATCCTATAGCTCAGGTGTCAGCCAAGATCAGCTTTCTTAGGGAGTTAAATAAAATTGGCTCCAATCTCAATCGTACAACTTGTGAGAAATCCAAGATCTCCCCATTCCCACATCCATCACCAACTCCTCTGGATTCTGTCCTGGGCAGGGTGAAGGGCTTACATCCCCGGGGTCATGCCTGGACCCGAATTCCTGCTTTCTCTGAAATCTGTTGCACTATGCCTCACATCTTACGGACATTTCCTTGTGCAGTGCTGACCCAGATGTGTGATGTAGCTCCTGTCTTTTGGTTTGTCTTTCCCCATCACATGAGTTAAAAAAGTATTTGTGTGGGTGGAAGACTTAACTTAAGGTTTGGGACCAGGAAGAGGGATTTATAGAAAACAAAGCAAAGAAGCCAGGGGTGGTGGCTCAGGCCTGTAATCCCAGCACTTTGCGAGGCCAAGGCAGGTGGATCACTTGAGGCCAGGAGTTTGAGACTAGCCTGGCCAACATGGTGAAACCCTGTCTCTACTAAAAATACAAAAATTAGTCAGGAGTGGTGGCTCTCACCTGTGGTCCCAGTTACTTGGGAGGCTGAGGCAGGAGTATCACTTGAACCTGGGAGGCAGAAGTTGCAGTCAGCCACGATTGCGTCACTACACTCCAGCTTAGGCCACAGAGTGAGACTCTGTCTCAAAGAAAAAAAAAAAGGCAAAGCAAACAATGTAATATTGAGAAGACATTCTTGTTCTTAAAGGTGATTTTCCTATTTCACCTGCCCCACTCCTCCCCAGGCCTTAGCCTCACGACCTTCATAATCTTAACAATCTTTTCTGTTTTCCCACTGCCAGTTCCTATTTATTTCATGCAGAGCAGTTTTGCATTTTTTTTTTGGTTTGTTTCTTTGTTTCATTGCAAACTTGTCCTAAGGATCCTAAGTATTTTCCTAAACAGAGACAGTTCTCTCTCTAAGAAAAACTCTGAAGTCAGGTGTTAAAAAAGTAAACATTTCACATTGATTTGGGTGATTATAGTAGGGAAATCTGAGCAGATCTCTTGGATGTGGAGATGGGATTGACTTCAAGAAGTCAGGGCTGCATGACCAGTGTCTGGAAAAAGGGAGGAGCATCACGTTTACCAGGGACTGAGAGGAGGCTGAGTTGGTTAAAACTGATGGTTTGGGCCAGGTGTGGTGGCTCACGCCTGTAATCCTAGCACTTTCGGAGGCCGAGGCAGGTGGATCACCTGAGGTCAGGGGTTCGAGGCCAGCCTGGGCAGCATGAAGAAACCCCGCCTCTACTAAAAAAATTAAAATTAGCCAGGTGTGTTGGTGGGTGCCTGTAATCCCAGCTACTCAGGAGGCTGAGACAGGAGAATCACTTGAACCCGGAGTTGGAGGTCGCAGTGAGCTGAGATCTCACCACTGCACTCCAGCCTGGGCAACAGAGTGAGACTCTGTCTCACAAAATAACTAAAAAATAAAAAACCTGATGGTTTGTATTTGTAAATAGCAGGGGAATAATTTGGATATAGTGGTGCATAGGAAGGGGCATGATGGGGCAGTTACAGAGAACTTTAGAAGCTTAATCCTGTAAGTAATGAGAGTTTCTGGACAGGGAACTCTTTGGGGCAGGGAAATGATATGATTAGATTTTAGAATTCAGGAAGAACATTTTGCCAGTAGTGATTGGGTAGGCTCTGTGGCAGACTTCAAGCTGCCCATCAACCCCTATTCTTCCTTTCTTTACTCAGAGCTCCTGAGGTTTAGTTGAACACAACCACTGTGCCAGCCTCTCTGGCAGCTCTGTGTGCACACTGGCTAAATTCTGGCCAATGGGATGCAGGAGAAGTGATATGTACCTTTTCGAGGGTTATCCAAAAAGTGCATCATTCTCTAATAGAAATAAATAAAGCTTCTTGGAGAAATGGCTGCTTCTAAAGGACTGGGTAGGAGAAGTGCAAGATAAGCCTGGAATATCTTGCTGTGCTAAAAGTAAAGAAACACTCAAAGAATGATGGGAGTGTGTTAAAAGCACACAGGAACCAGCTTGAAGGGTTCCCCCTGGCCAAATCTGGGGTAATTTGAGCAACAAAATAATAATAGTACAGGAATATAACCCATAGAATAAAAAAAAGAATATGAGTCACTTTGAATGTAAAGTAATTGATAAAATAAAGGTGGGGGAAGAAAAATTATTTTTTATAATAGAATTCTATCTAATAAACATAAAAGGAAAGATGAAATTAGGAAAATCACCATTTGGCAGCCACCATAGTAGTAATAGTTCCAGGCAAGAATCAACAGTGGATGTTAAAACTAGTGGGTGAAAATAGGAGAAGCAGCAGAATATTTACATGGTTTAAAAACACCATCCCACAATATACCTGTTCAATAAAAGGGGGCAAATATTTACTGTGGAGAAACCTGGCAGATATCACCCTAACCAAGTGGTCCAAGGTAACATCACCAACATGGGGACAGAGTGCCATCAAGTGTCTCCTGGTGTGATGGATCAAAAGACGCGCTTCTGCCGCTGCCTGCCAAAAATGCATAGCCTAAATCTAGGCCTGAAGAAACACCACACAAATGCAAACTGAGGACATTCTTCAAAATAACTGATGTTTTCTCTTAAAAAAAATGTTAAGGTCATGTAAGACAAAGACTGAAGAACTATTCCAATTTAAGGAAATTTTAAAGACAGGACAACTAAATGCAATTAAATATCCTGAATTGAATCTTGGGCCAGTAAATTATTTTTCTTTTGCTATAAAAGACATTAGAGAAACAATCAATGTAATTTGAATATAGTCTGTAAATTAGACAATAGTATTATGTCAGTGTCACTTCCGACTTTGATCATTGTGTTGAGGTTATGGGAGAGTATGCCCTTGTTGTTGGGAAACACCCCATACTGCAGTTTTTTAGACATAAGGGGGTAAAGAGATAAATCATGTCTTTAATTTGCTTTCAAATGTTTTTGGGGAAAACTATTAAGAGAGAATGAATGATAAAGCAAATATGATAAAATGCTAACACTTGGAGAATGTGAATGAAGGCTATACAGGGATTCCTTTAATATTTTTGCAATTTTTCTGCAAGTCTGAAATAAGTATAAAAAGTTTTTGTTTTTGTGTTTGTAAGGAATAAGCGTGCACTTCCATCTGCCCTCATCCCCTTGCCCTTCCTATTGGCTGAGAGATGATGGCCCTAGAGCGTGGTGGGTGTGTGCTGTGGATGGCGGCACTTCCCTACCAGCCCTGGGCCACTGTCTTCTACTGTTATGTGAGAGAAATCATCTATGTTGTTAAGCCACTGCATTGGAGCGTCTCTTTGCTACAGCTCCATGTCCTAACTAATACAGGCAACTAACTAATACCGGCTGTAATAAGGAGAGGCTAGAAGAAGGTGGCTTCTTAGGAGTGTGGTGCACTGGTTTAGTTATTCCTATTGAGGGCATGGAAAATGGGGTCATGGAGAGAGTTGGTGAAGACCACTCATTTGGGAAGAATTGGTGAAAGGAAATTAAGAATAGGAGAGCAACTTGAGGGTGCAATAGAGTCTTAGGATCCTCTAGAAGAGATTTTCCCTTTTAAGGAGCAGAGAAAAAAGTCCAAGGGAGAAAAGAGATGTTTGGGAGTTGGGGAATTTTCTGGTGACCTTGGTTCATACCCCACTGGTCACCTCTGTGTATGGCTGGCCTGGATTCCAGGGCCAGATATCAGAACTATTTATGATTGTAAGTGAAGAGCAGAGAACTATGAACCCACCTGGACTGAGGTGGAGATGATCAAATATGATTTAGTGGGATACATAAGGAGAATTTAAAAATTACAATAATCATGGTAGCAGGTAATCTTTACCGAGTCCTCATTGTGTCTTGGGACTAGTTTAAGTTCTTTCCCCCATCTACTCATTTGAACCTCACAATAACCATAAGACAGTCTTCCTATTTTACAGATGAGTAAGCTGAGCCACAAAGAAGTTGTCAAAGGTCATTTGCAAGTAGCAGACACAAGCTTCAGATACAGGCAAGCTGCCTCGGGGCACCCCCTCCAATTTCTGGGGGCCACTTTTGGGTCCCCCGTCTCTCCTTCTCCTTTCCCTCCAGCAGCATTTGATGTTGACATAGGTGAACTGGAGACATGTGGTCTCCTTCATGGTGTTGTGGATCTGCACTCCAGAATCTACTTCCCACAGAGCAGGAGAGGGATGGGGTGTGAGGAAGGGCAGCAGGTGTCAGCCGTGCCCTATTGAAATGGCTCTGGCTCATTGGAAGGATGAAGGCCTGTCCATCTGAGGGCAAAAGAGGAAGGGCAGCCAGAAAGGGGCACGACTATTCTTTTCTGGTTTTGGAACTCTTGTGCTGTTGGCATGTGGGAGGCATTTGGGATGGGGTGAGGGTCGGAGTGGACTTGTGGGACCGAATGTCCCCAGTCTGCTATTCCTGCCCCCACTTCAGAGCCCTGCCACTCACAAGTGTGAGACGATGGATAAAGGAGGAGGGAAGTCAGAAGAGCTTCTGTCCCTGAGGGTCTCCGCTCATTTCTTTCTGTGCTAAAGACTTTTTCCCATTTTAAAAGCAGTAGGCAATAAGTCCCGGAATGCCTGAAACAAGAAAAAGAGAAACTTTATAAATGCACTTTTGAACCTGGAGACCCAGCTCCTGGCCAGGAGACGGCAAACTCTTTTAATATCCTTATTCTGGATTCACTTAAATGGAAACAGCCTCCAGTATTTTTAGCTGCTGTGTAATCAAAGTGAAAAAGAAGAAGGAAATGTATATATTTTTCTTTCCTAGTTAGAATAAGAGAAGGAATTGCTCATATCTTTTAGCAGAGTCCCTGCTGGGAAGGGAGGAAAACACCAGGAGTCTCCGTTTGCTCCTCCTCTGGCCTAGACAGGATTTAAACCCAGGGAGGGAAGCCAAGGAGAGACGAGAACAAGGGACGACCAGCAAGTACCAAGGTCTGCGGCAGGAGGAGACCGGCTCACAGGAGCAGCAGCGTTGGAAGAGGCACCCAGCAGCCTCCCAGGTAAGAGTGCCAGTTGCCCAAGCTTTACTTACTGGAGGGAGGAAGGTGGCAATGCGGATGAGCTCAAAAGTGGTGGCTCAGGTGCCTCCGTTCCCGAGCCTGAAAATCTGGGCAGTGTAATTAGTCTCTTATCCACTCCACGAAGAGTTAAAATGAATTGGGAGGTACCTCTCAGGACCCATGTGCTGCGTCCGTAGTATTATACGCCAGTCTCAGACAGGGCCAAGCATAGTTATCTTCTTTCCTGGCCAGATGCAGTCTGTGTTGTATCAGTTTCTACCTGGAGTAACACATTTTTGTATAAAATGTTTCCTTTAAGATGTTCCTTCTCATCTTTTTTACTTTTTAACTTATTTACAATGTCAAAACTTTCTCTCTCTCTCTCTTTTTGGATAATTTAGTATTTGTTATATCTCATTATTCTTTTAAATCCTAAAACAGAATGGTTATTTTAGTTAGGATTAGGAAGCTAGGATAACTTTCCCGTTTTCTGGATTTTGTGTGAATCAGTTAAGGGGATGTTTGCAAACACATTTGAACAGTTTTGAAGTATATCCAGATGTTTAATTTTACAGGTTTTAATTATTATTTGTTTAGACGACAAATTCTCTCCAAATCCCCATACTATTACCCTCACAATACCTCAAAGAAAACATTTCAAGATATCTCAAAAACTTGGCCAGGCACGGTGGCTCACGCCTGTAATCCCAGAACTTTGGGAGGCCGAGGTGGGCAGATCACCTGAGGCTGAGATTTCGAGATCAGTCTGACCAACGTGGAGAAACCCTATCTCTACTAAAAATACAAAATATTAGCCGGGCGTGATGGCGCATGCCTGTAATCCCAGCTACTCGGGAGGCTGAGGCAGGAGAATTGCTTGAACCCGGGAGGCGGAGGTTGCGGTAAGCCGAGATTGAACCATTGCACTCCAGCCTGGGCAACAAGAGCAAAACTCCGTCACAAAACAAAACAAAACAAACAAACAAAAAACCACGCCACTTTTTGGAGGTCTTACTTTTTACTTATTTATTAATTTTTGTGCTTGGGAGAGATCTAGGGGAAGGATGGAGAAAGAATGAATGAGAACAGGCAGGGTTCCACTTAAAAGCATGAAACCTGTGTTGCTTATATAAGCATTAAAAGAAAAGAACAAGTTCCAACATAAAAGTAACAAACTACCCACATCTGGACACAGATTAGCCATAGTGCCTAAAATCCACTGGTTCTTGGAAAAGCTGAGGTGTCACCAAGGCATCAGATGGTACCTTGCTCGGTCAGGGCTACATATTGACAGCTGGCCTCTTGACATTCGGACATTTGTTGCAGACTCAGAATCAAGGTGACAGTGTCAGACACAGGAAAAAATAGAGTGTCAATACTGGTATCGTTTTTCCCGGAGAGAAGGAAAGAAGGCACATGGCATTCTTTCCTACAACTCTAAGTACTGCTTTGTCCCCAATTTGTAGGCTGCAGCTGAGTCCCGAAGGAGGGAAAATAGAACAAATGATTTCAAATCATCCCGTGGCTTCTGGTTTTCCAGTCCAGTGCTGCTCTGTGGTTTGAAATGTAGGGTGGGCAGAGCTCTGTTTCTGAGAACATGCCTGAATAAATTGTGCCCAGGCCCAGTGGAAACTTTTGTCCATTCACTGCTCATTCCAGAGCCTTGGCTCCTATAGGATCTGGATACAGACATGAGATCATGGTTTAGGTCCTATAGCAGCATCTGGAGCCACCAGTCTGTGAGCTGAGGATGCTAAGATCTCAGGCCTGATCCCTGGATGGACAGGGACTTTGCTGTTTCTGCCACAGTGGACTCACTGCTAATGCTGCCCAGCCACCGTTTGAATCTGTACCCAGCCCGTGTGAGAGTGGAACAGTGCAAATGCTTGGAAATTAGCAAACACTCTCCGCCTTGCTAGAAGGCTGGAACTTTAAAGTTACTTCAGTATGTGGAAAAAAAACACATTAGCTAAAGAAAGAAATTGCAGAGTTTTTGTTTTGTTTTGTTTTAATCTGATGCCTCTCACACCCACGGATATTAGGGCTAATTGGATACAAAGTAATACTTAGTCATTCTGGAAACTGGCTGTTTGGTTGAATATGGGAGAGGAAGGTTCCTGAATTTAGGTCCTGGGTCTATTTTATCTTGTTATTGTGCACGAGGTTGGTCCCACAAAAGCTAAAGGAAGTTCTTGCTGTGAAAAAGTGATTCATCCTCTGGGGGTAAGTGACCATCTTTGCCTGATGTTTAAGAGGAGACTTTAAAGTGTTTTGCCCAGAGCCTGGCATGTAATCAATGCATAGAAAATGGTAGCTACCATTATCATCACCCATTTAAGCCTTTGCAAGGCAGATTAAGAGTCAGTTGTCAAAAGAAAACACAATGAGCCTGTGGCCACCCCTGGAAAAGTGATTGAGCGCTGAGGCTGGGTCAGGACACCATCCTTGATCTTTTCAAGCCTCAGGCGGGTGGGCAGACTTGATGGGATGGCTCTCCAGGAAAAAGGTTCTAGCACAGTGGTGTGAGAGTCATCTCCAGGGACTTCCTGGGCACTCTGTGGGTGTCCCACAGAACTAGGAGAATGGGGGGACAGAGTGATGCCCAGAATGTGACTGTACTAAGCCCTATCACATAAAACCAAATTTCCGTTCTTGTCCACACCTAGCTGTCTTGTATCCTACATGCAATGCTTGCACAGAGTTCAGTGTCACAGAGACTAGAAATAAAGACGTTTGTATGTACTTGCTGCCCCTGGAGTTTAACCTAGGAGAGACAGACCTCCCTTGTACATCCATGTTCTTGGATCTGAAGGAGAAAGAGATACAGAGGTGAGATCTGTTGCCTAAGCCTCCAGTTCACGGTGAGTTGAACCAGGGTAGATTCCTCAGCCAGCTGAGAACTTGCTGTCCTGGACCAGGTTACTTGGGAAGTACAGGGAAGACCCCTGAGTCACCCAGGGCCCAAGCTGAAGATCATTAGCAAAATATGCCTAAGAGAGTTAAGAAAGCAGTGACAAGTTTGCCCGTGTTTGTGACATTGATGCATCCCTAGCCACTCATCTCCCTCATTTTCCTTCATAGTTTAATGATATCCACCCTGTCATTTGGGGACAGAATATCTTCTTAAGTGACTCTGCTGGAAATCCACGATGATACACTCTTTCTAAAACCCAAAGCAGTGCTTTCATTTTCTTGTGGTTAACTGTCAAGGCAGGATGAGATAATAAGGGAACCAGAGAAAGCCCTGAATTTAAGTATAAAGGTCTGTAACAGTGGTTAGAAATTGGCCTACCTCTCTTCTTTGGCGTAAGTAGTATTTTTTTTTCCTGACCCAGGGTGTGTGTCCTTCTTTGGGGAAAATGAGGTGACATAGAGACCATCCACCCCTGGGGTCCGAGAGGACCATCAGGATTCAGGGGCCATCCTCCTCCCTTGGCCAACGCTTAGATGCCATCTGCCCCTGCAGACAGAAGTCTCCGTGCACTTTGGTGTTTCCTAGGAAGGGAATTCTCTAGCTTTTCATGAGAAGTGACTGGGACTTAACCTCCATGTGAGGGAAATGCAATTCATGTTCCCAGTGGATCATCCTTGGCACCACTCAGAGGAAGTACAGGCACAGGATTTAGTTATCGATTTATTAATTTTTAACTGAACACCCAATTTATACCTTGGGTTTCTTTTATTTTCAGGAAAAAAAAAAACCCTGTCTTAAAAACACGTGACAGAACGGAGGACATTTGGTGGGTTTTTTTTGTTTATTTGTTTTGTTTTTTATATATACAGGACATATAACAGAGAGATAAAGAACACAGATGTGGGTAGTGGACAGACCTGGTGTATGATCCCAGCTCTGCTGCTTTTTAGCTGTGTGTCCTTTGGCAAATTACTTAACTTCTCTGAGGACCTGTCACAAAGAATGATATCAACTGACTCCCAGGATTTTGAGGATTAAATGAGGATAATTTTTATAGCATTTGGCACAATGTCCATTATCTAATAAGCACACACACACACACACACACACACACACAAATCCAGTGGCTATTACTATTTACTTCACAAAATATTACTTTGACAGGACTGTGCTATGAGGCTGGTGATACAGAGGGGATCAACACAGTCACGGCCATCTCTGTCATCTCTGAGCTCATGAGGATGCCTGGGCTAGGAACATGCATACAGATTTGGTGGCTGTCAATATTTGGCTGGAAATTAAAGCCACAGGGGTAGATGCAGATACCAAGAGAGAACACAGCAGAAGCATAGAGCCCTGCAACATCTGAAGGCAGAAGTAGGGGGACCATCTGTGGTCAGTCGTGTACCCCTCAAAGAGCCTTTCTGGTAAAAGCAATACAACGAAGCATTTATTCCTCAGTCTAATGTATCCCTCCCTCCCAGCTTCCCACACCACCCAACACCTCTCCTGCAGTTAGAATTAAAGACCTGACTAGCCTCTGTAAGACAATGATTCTTGGGGACAACTGGTTTTCTGTGGTTCCTACATACACATTTCCTGCATGTAAATGCCCTTTGCTTCATGCATCCCTGAAGAATTTACCCAACTTTCCATGGGAAAATACCCCTCAGTAGAATAATCCTCCCTATTTGGAAATGTATCATCCTGCGTTTTGCTTACAAAAATCTTCTGCCCTCTCTACCCCCTCCCCACCGTCGCGGAGCTCAGCCTGTGGTTTGCTGTGCATACTGAAAGAGTTGATGAAGTCATCCTTCCCTTCTGCTATTAAACAAGGAGTCTCTCTCTTGCCACGTGTTGAAGTGAGAGCCAGCAGGCTTCTCTTCTTTCTCATTACACTTGACAGAGTGTTAGGTTGAGGATTTCCCTTGCTCTCATCTTCTTTCGAACAATCAACCTACCCAGGAAAATCTGAGTGCAACTTTTGGAATCTGAGAGGCAGTAATTAATGAGGACATCTTGTTACAAATCAGAAGGACAAGCAACACCAAGGGCTCCAACAGGGACTTCTGGGGTTTCTCATATTCCAGGCTACAAAAACAAATGCTGTAGACCTGGGCTCTGGGCAGCCTTGCTGTGGTTTATGGCAAGAGTCCATGGCTTTTTGTGTGTGTGTGTTCGTTGAGAACTTCTTCAGAAAACCATCTGCACTCCGTTTATGTCTCAGGCTGGGGGTGGGGGATGGGATGGAAAGCATGGGCAGGGAAGTTTGCGTTTTCAGCCCTATTTTTGCCCAGGAAGAAGATTTTTGGATAGTGGAAACTCATAGGCTGCCATGAACACAGTAGGTGCTTCAGAGATCAATATGAATTGTTACTGGGGAACGGCAGAAGTACACAGGGGTTAATGGCTCCATTGCTGGAAACTGTGCACCTGGGGTTGCATCTGTGGCCGTGTGCTCATCAATTGCATAATCAGGACATGTTGCTTGATGCCACTGAGCCTCAGTTCCTATCCTGGGGATCAAGTGGAGAAAAGTGTGTGGCTTTTATCTTTGCAATGAATGTTTAAGGATGGTCATTGTGAAATATCATTATTTTTATCCTACACCTGCCTTCCAATTCATTCTCCTGGCTTCCCACTCCCTCCATCCTCTGACACAAATCTCAAGCAGCTTCCAGAGCTTTTCTGGTAGCTTTTGGTCTTAGAAGAGAATTGCTTTTGTGAAGGCAAGTCCATTTCAGTATTGAGCCTCAGTCTGTCATCCAGGTCACATCTTTTCTTCTTTCTCAGCTCAGACCTGACACTGGAACCTGCAGAGAAGCTGGAGGGAAGGGGCTTGGTGCTTTCCTCCCTCCATTTCTCCCTCCCTGACATGCATGGCTGCTTCTGGCTTCACCAGGTTGCTGCTGCCTGGGGCGAGGTGGGGATTAGAAAAGAAGAAGAGGGCATTTTTACTTTACTGGGGCTGTTGTGGTTCCCTCCATTGGATGCCCTTGTTATGGCGAATGCTCCCAGTGCTGGGCCACCCCTCCTTTCTGGGGAGCTTCTGTGGGATCTTTAGATATTCCCCTCCCACCCACTGAGCATGTCCTCCTGCAGTCGCCGCCTTGGGGTGGCACACTCCTACTGAACGGTGGACATGCACCTCAGCTCGGGCCCTCAACTGCCCTCTTGGCAGCTCTAACATGCCTCATTTCTGTGACATCAAGTTGGCCTTGCCAAAGTCTGAGTTTCAGGCCTCTCACACTGCAGCCCCCTGTTCCAGCCACGCCTCCCTCTGTGAATTCCTCTGGGCCAGAATCAGGCACTGGTCTCTTTGCCTGCCACTCCGCCTTATTCATCCTGACCTCACCCCCAACCCCCAAACCTCCAGTAGCACACTCTCTTTGAAATGTGTGGGCACAGCCAGGTGCGGTGGCTCACGGCTATGATCCTAGCACTTTGGGGAGCTGAGGTGGACAGACTGCTTGAGCCCAGAAGTTCGAGACCAGGTTGGGCAACATGGTAAAACCCCATCTCTACAAAAAAACACAAAAATTAGCCAGGCACGGTGACATATACCTGTAGTCCTGGCTACTCAGGAGGCTGAGGTGGGAGGATCACTGGACCCCAGGAGGTGGATGTTGCAGTGAGCCGCATTTGCACCAATGCACTCCAGCTTGGGCGACAGAATGGGACCCTGTCTCAAAAAAAAAAAAAAAAAAGAGAAAAGAAAAGAAATGTGCAGGCACTTATTACCCATGGTCCAAGTTGCAAGACAGCAAGAAGTGTCCCATTGACTATTTCATTCCATCTGCTGGGTGTTGAGTCCAGTGCCTGAAATGCACTCAGTGTTCAGAAGAAGTGAGCTCTTATTATTATCAACAATACATGTGATAGGAAGAGCCACGAAGGAGTGGGAGGGCAAAGGGGTAACGCAAAGAAAAACTCTTCATAGGTACCATTCTGTTTAATTCACAGTGGTGGCACATCCCTTGGGTACAACATGTATAACAGATGAAAGCATTGCATAGGGACATGTATCTAACTGCTCTCTTTTGTCATTTGTATCAGAACGTCATACTGATGCAGAGCAAGCATAGGCTTGCAATCAGATGGGTCTGCATTTGAATCCTGGCTCTGCCACTTTTAGTTGGACAACCACTGGCAAATGACTTTACCTCTCAGATCTGGTTTCCTTACCTTTTGAGTGAGGAGAGGAACACTGAGCTTACATGGCAGCTCTGGGGATTAATTACACGGATTAATGCACCTAGCCAATGCCTAGCGCATAGCAGCAACTCAATAAATAACATTTAGCATCTAATACTATTGAGATTCTTCTTCTTTTATTCTCCCAGGGCTCTTCATCCCCTGTTTCCTCAATTTCCTGATACTAAATGAATTATGACTATTAAAAGTAAAACATTTTACATATTACCAGAATTTGGCTTAGTGGCTAGAAATATTTCTTCCTTTTATGATCAATATAGTTGAAAGTTGCCTTTCAACCTAGGCATTATTAGTATCATTATTATTATTATTATTTGAGATCGAGTCTTGCTCTGTCACCCAGGCTGGAGTGTAGTGGCACGATCTTGGCTCACTGCAGCCTCCGCCTCCCGGGTTCAAGCGATTCTCTATCTCAGCCTCCTGAGAAGCTGGGATTACAGGAGTGCACCGCCGCATCTGGCAAATTTTTGTGTTTTTAGCAGAGAAAGAGTTTCACCATGTTGGCCAGGCTGGACTCGAACTCCTGGCCTCAAGTGATCTGCCCGCCTTGGCCTCCCAAAGTGTTGGGATTACAGGCGTGAACCACCATGCCTGGCTGGCATTATTCTTCATAGTAAAAAACATAAGGAAGAAAAGGAAGTCACATTCAGTACTTGATTGAAAACAAAATAAATCTCAAAATATTGACTGAGCCCTGCTCACGTGCCAGACATGGTGCTCACTGCTGTCCACATCCAAGAGGGGTGACGCGCTGTCATTCCCACGTTACAGACAAGGAGGCGGAGGCTCAGGATGAGGAGCACTTTTAGAGATGCACATCCTGGAGCCTGTCTGAGGTGCCTTTCCACCATATCCCAACTGCCTCTCACCACAGGCAGGGAGAGCCTGGGCTCAAGCAAAACACAGACCACAGGAAAGGACTGTGTTTCCTGACTTCAAACTTTGGCATAAATAATTGCAGGTCTTAGGTTGGTTACAGAAACCCATTGTCAAGAGACAGCTCTGCAGATCAGTTTCTAGATAACTGCTGTACGCAAGCCCAACTGGGATGTGTCTTGTGACTGAGGTTCCTGTGAGCAAAATGTGAGGTGAAAGCGGGGTCTCTTGTGGTCTGTCCTGCCTCAACTTGTTAGTGTGCAAAGAATGGGCCATCCCAGATGGGGATTGGGGGCACAAGGGGAAATGGCTGGAAAGAGGAGTTATTCTGCTCATTGACAGTGGTGAAGACACCACCTCCTGGTGAGGGAGGAGGCAAAACCTAACCGCTGGCCCCATCTCAGGTCATCTGCTTGACTGACAAATTGGGCCACCCATGCACGGATAGATTTGAGAAACAGTGACCAAACCTCTCAGCATGTGTGACTGTGCTCCTACCCCAGGAGGGCCCCAAGATGAATCAGTCCTGTCCTTAACAGGTTCACAGCCTACTGGGGAGACAAGCTGCATACAAGAGTAACTGTAATACCAGGTCAACACTCAAGAGACCAGCAGTGAGTGACAGGTCCATTTCTCTGAATGCTTAGCAGAAGCGAGGCTAGTCTCTAGCTGGATGAGGCAGGGGGACAGGAGAGAAGACTTTGTGGAGCGGGTAATTTTATTAGAAATTCTTATATTTTACTGGTACACAAGTGGGTGTCATGAGCAGGACGCTGGCCCTGCAGTCAGTGGACTTGAGTCTGAGTACAGGTTCTGCTCTTCCTGGCTGTGGGACTCAGGACAACTTGCTCAGCTTCCTCATCTGTGCAAAGCAGCGTGGCATTGTGGGGATGAGCGTGGACTCTGGGGTCAGATTGCCTGGGTTCAAATCCTGGTTGGCAAATCATTTAAAGTAGTAGTGCTTCCGTTTCCATATCTATAAGATGGGGGTAATCATAGTATATTCCACAAACAATTGTGAGAATGGAATGAGTTAATAAATGTGAAACACTTAGAACATTTAGAATAGTGCCTATCACACAGCAAGTGCTCTATGTGCAGCTCTTATTGTTGATGTTGTTAAGAGGGAGGATAATATTAGGGTTGCTGTAAAGATCCAGAATTAGGGGGATCAAAGCGTGACACACAATAGGCTGTCAACATAAGAGAGCTGCTCTTATTATTATTAATAAGTGCAGGTGAGCCTAGAATGAGAGGTGAAGAGAAGGGCATCCTGGGCAGTGTGAACAGTAAGCAAAGACAGGAGGCAGGAATATGCAATCTGTGAGGCAGGAACAGAAAGTAATTTGGTTCGGATCCTTGGGAGAAATAGAATGAGTTCTTTCTGCTGGTTTCTCAGCTTCCTGGGGGCTCTTAGAATCTGGTAAAAAAGCCAGCTTCCCTCAGCACATCTTCATGGCTTTCTTTTGTAATGTTTCTAAATACAGGCATCCTGGAGGGTCTGCTCCCTGTCTTTCCAAGGATGAGTCTCCAGGAGATGTTCCGCTTCCCCTTGGGGCTCCTGCTTGGCTCTGTGCTCCTGGTGGCTTCGGCCCCAGCCACTCTGGAGCCTCCCAGCTGCAACAACAAGGAGCAACAGGTCACTGTCAGCCACACCTACAAGATCGATGTGCCTAAGTCTGCCTTGGTTCAGGTGGAGGCTGACCCTCAGCCCCTCAGTGACGATGGGGCTTCGCTTTTGGCCCTGGGTGAGGCCGGGGAGGAACAGAACATCATCTTCAGGCACAACATCCGCCTTCAGACGCCACAGAAGGACTGCGAGTTGGCAGGCAGTGTCCAGGACCTCCTGGCCCGGGTGAAAAAGCTGGAGGAAGAGATGGTGGAGATGAAGGAACAGTGTAGTGCCCAGCGCTGCTGCCAGGGAGCTACTGGTGAGCTCACCACCTGGTATTCATTCAACAAACATTTGATGAGTACCTATTATGTGCCAGGGGCTCCACTAGCCTCATGAGCACTTTGTGACTCTGGCGTGCTCCCATTTCTTATTCTAGGTTTTCTCTAGGGGGCCCATCCCTGCTATTTATTCATTTATTCACTGGTACTAGCTCCAGGGAGCATCTGGAAGCTGAGCAGGGAGGGACCAGCATCTCTTGCAGAGAGTCTAGACTCCTGGCCTATTGCTTCCAGATGGGAATGCTTCTAGGGGCTGTCATGCCTGTGAATCCAAGCTCTATTCAGAGAGGAAGCGATGACATACACAGGAAAGATACGGCCTTGGAGCTAGACAGGACAGTTTACAAATCCTGGTTCTACCACTTTTTAGCTGTGTGACTTTGGGCAAATCCCTTACGTTTCCTCAACTGTCCAACAAGGATAATTCTATCAACTAGTATAGTTCTGAGAACTAGAGATGATGCATAGAAGATTCCTGGTCCTTAGTGGAATTTACAAATCAGTAAATTATAATTATCTTATTAGTAAATAATTACAATTGTAAAATAATTACAATTTAATTTTACAAATAATGAAGGTTCTCCCCCCACCCATCCCCCGTCACTTTTAAACATAAACTGCCCAGGCTGATCCAATGATAATGAACAGTACTTTGGCATAGGATTTCATGCCTGAAGGAATTGCTACGGTTAAGAGCACCTTAACTTTCGGATCCAGATACAGAACTTGGCACCAGGGCCACTGCCATGAATAACCAGCATGGACTTGCCTCTGAGGAGCCCCCACTTTGGAAGCGTTTTTAGGAAGGAGGGAAGGTGTTCTAAGAAGCAGAAGGTGGGCCACAGAGGAGATTGCACTGACCGGTCCGCCCTCCAGCTGCCTCTTGCTGTGTAGGGTCAGAGAGGGGAGCCTGGTTAATTCCCTTCTCCACAGTACCCATAGTTAAGAGTAGGCTATTTTGTGGCTTCTGCAGTTTCGTTTTTCCAGGCTTCAGTCTGGACTCATTTCACAAGGTCCCAGCCTTGCTAGTTCCAGCAAACTCCAACCTGCCTGGATCTCACTTTCCCCCCAGGAGTCCTGCCCGGCAGTGACAGCTGGCCAGGGTGGAGCATTTAAGGCCCCTCCATAGGAAGGCACTAAATAATGACCACCATGTAGAGAGGAAGGAACAGGGGGAATTCACATGGGAAGGAAAAGGAAAGAAGGGTGGGTCCTGCAGCCTTTTCAGGCAGAGAAAGGAGGAGACGTTTGCAGATGTCACAGATTAGAAAGCCTGGCCCAGGCTGAAAAGGGCCAACACCTTTTCTACCTTGTGGAGCTCCACCATCCTCCAAAAAAGAGCCGTGCAAGACCCAGAAATCACCAGACCCTTAAGAATGGGGCTAGTGATTTATGGGTTTTGCATGGCTGATCTCAAAGGAAGGAGATCCCCTCGCACAACCCTTCAACCCAGCCTACTGTTTTACCTCTCCCTCCCAGATCTGAGCCGCCGCTGCAGCGGCCACGGGACCTTCTCCCTGGAGACCTGCAGCTGCCACTGCGAGGAGGGCAGGGAGGGCCCCGCCTGCGAGCAGCTGGCTTGCCCTGGGGCGTGCAGCGGCCACGGGCGTTGCGTGGACGGGCGCTGCCTGTGCCACGAGCCCTACGTGGGTGCCGACTGCGGCTACCCGGCCTGCCCTGAGAACTGCAGCGGGCACGGCGAGTGCGTGCGCGGCGTGTGCCAGTGCCACGAAGACTTCACGTCTGAGGACTGCAGCGAGCGACGCTGTCCCGGCGACTGCAGCGGCCACGGCTTCTGCGACACGGGCGAGTGCTACTGCGAGGAGGGCTTCACAGGCCTGGACTGTGCCCAAGGTGAGAGCGGAGATGTGCCCTCGGGCCGCCGGACTCTTCTTTCCAATGCACCATTTAACTGTCAATTACACGTTGTTCCCTTTGGGGGTGTCTTCCTTTAGCCTACCCAGACTAGTGAGTCCCAATCCCAGAGTTTCTGATTCTGCGATGGGGCCTAAGAATTTGCATTTCTAACAAGTTCCCAGGTGATGCTGATGCTGCTGGTTTGAGGCCCTAACCTTGAGGACCGCTGGTCTTGTGATCTAATGGCTGTGTGTGAGTGTGTGCGTGTGGTGAGGGGGTTAGTATTCATTACCTGTCGTTCAGCTAATAACTTCTGGGGGTCGGGAATGGCGCCTTACACAGGTCTGCATCCTGCACACCCACCCTTATAATGCTCAGGGAATACTCACTGGGTCTGGATTGCCTGCCTTGCTCACCCTCTCTTCCCTGTTCCTGTTCTGCCTGCAGTGGTCGCCCCACAGGGCCTGCAGCTGCTCAAGAGCACGGAGGATTCTCTGCTGGTGAGCTGGGAGCCCTCCAGCCAGGTGGATCACTATTTCCTCAACTACTACCCCCTGGGGAAGGAGCTGTCTGGGAAGCAGATCCGAGTGCCCAAGGAGCAACACAGCTACGAGATTCTCGGTTTGCTGCCTGGAACCAAATACATAGTCACCCTGCGTAACGTCAAGAAAGACATTTTTAGCAGCCCACAGCATCTACTTGCCACCACGGGTGAGGAAGCCACCTGATGCCCCAGGGTTCCCAGGAGAGGCCCCATTCTAAATGTTTTCTTTCATTATTCCCACAAATACCCGTCAGGCAGTTGCCTTGACTTGGAGTTTGAAAAACACAGCTGCCACAATCCTAGGTTCTGAAGAGTCCCAGTTCTCTCTCTTCTTTCCTTGCTCCCTGATTACTGGGTCCTCTAAGCCTTTGAAGACCTGCTAGATGGGGGCTCATGGGGTCTTCTCTGTCCCTGAGATTAGTAGGGTCTGCACCTTCTCATAAGCAGTCAAAGGGTGGACCTGCATCCCCAGTCCCTCACTGAACCCCCAAAGCCATTCAGAAAGTTCAAGTCGGTATGGGTGAGAGGCTGCTGAAGCCACCTGTATCAGTTAGATTCATCTCGGTGGGAAAGACATGACACGAATGGGGTAATAAATTTCAAAGTTTAACCAACAGGTTGTTCACGAAAGTGTGGGTGGGGGTTGGATAGTGAAACACAAAGACCTGCATCAATAAGGATACACTCCTGCCTGAAGGGGCAAGGGATAGACGTTGGTACTTGGACGCAGAGAGAACTGTGGAAAAGAGCTGCTTGGTGGGATTGTTTTGGTAGAGGGATGCAGGCAATCCACCGTGTCTCCACAGAATTCTGTCTTCTGCCCTCTGATCTGCTGATGATTCCTGCTAGCTGAACCTGGAAGCCAGAGGGTCAGGGAAAATGGCTGATTCAATTCACAGAGATCATAGCCTGGGGTACAGAACAAGATGGAGGATGGTGGAGGCTTGATATGGAGAAACGGAACTTCCTGTGCACCAGCAAATGCCACCAAAATGTTTAGAAGGATAAGCATCACTGCTTACTCTTTAAACATTCTTGTTTCCTTGTGAACATTCTTAAAGCAGCTTAGATCTTCAAGGATTTGGAAAAACGTAGTTGGTTGAATGACTGAATCATTCCTTCACGCAGTACATTTTTATTGAACACTTACCATTTGTCAGGCACTGCTCTAGGTACTGATAAAAATTTACTGCCTCCATCCTGCCCTAAACTTCTAGGGAAAGATCTAGGAAGATACAGATGGATGGAGCTTTGGCATGCAGTTGTCTTTGCAGAGACGTTAAGCTGCCTGTCCTTTTTGGTGGTGGGACTAGGGTGAAGGTGGGGATGGGTCAGTGTTGGAAAGGACTGTGAGAGACTTGGTCATCATGAGGGCACCACATGTGATTGCCTTTGTCAGTGCCCTCAAGCTAAAGACCCCCAGGAGCACCCCTGTAGTTAAACAACTTGGGTGTCTTGATTGTTCTAGCATGGATGACTGCACACTATGGGAGACCATAGGGCTGTCTCAGTAGACAGTGTTAGAAAGGACTGTTTAGAGAATTTGGGCCTGTGTTATGTAATTTGGGGGAAGGTGTAAGGAAGCAGGGATTGGGTGCTGTCAAGAAGTGGGGAGAACCTCTCCCCTCTGAGAGGCTAAAGTTGGTGATTGTAACAGCAGTGGTCATTACTCATAGTAGTCAAGAGAGTGGGTGTTTAGCTATTTGTGTGGTTGGGACAATGGTCATGTTTTTGTCTGTGTTCAGAGTTGATCATGGAAGGGTCTTGCTTTTGTCTTGATCTACATGGTCAAGAGTGACCTGACATTGATGTCCTGTGAAATGATTTATGTTCAATAGGAGACACCAAGTCCTCACTGTGAGAGCCAGGCCCGCTGTGGCTGGCAGACTCTGCTTTTCTCTTCTTCCCCATTTTGTCTATGGCTACCTCTGGTACAGCTAGCACTGTGTCCAAAGCCTCCCAGTGCAGCACAGAGATGCCTATTCTGAAAGTCCTAGCAGCCCGTCATGACATCTTGCTCTCGGGATTTGTAAAATTCTGCTAGTGTGAAGTTTCTCTTACCTTCTAATCTGATTCGGCTTAAACACATTCTTATTTGCTCCTCAGGGGAGCCTAAGACAAGAGGTATTCCTCCCCACCGTAATCGGGAACATTCTCATTAAGTCCTTGCTTTTTCATTTGTGACTCCCTCCCAATTCTTTTACACCATGTAGGAACTCTTCTATAAGCCTCAAGTCACGTTTATTACTCACCTCTTGACCTGTCCTTCAGGGAATTCCATCTTTAATGGAAGTCTAAAAACAGCACCTGGCAGATGGAAGCCCATGGATGAGAGGAAAAGCTTCAGAGAAAAGGCTCTGTGAGGCTCTTTATCCATAACTGAGTGAATCGGGGATGTTCAGAGCCCAGGGACCTTGAGATCACTGAGTTCACACCTGGCCTGATGCACTAATTCTCTGTCCTGCATCATCCGTCAGTTGGCCTGGGTGGAGACACCTCCAGGGAGGTGAAGGTGGGGGCGTGACTGATGAAGGGGGGAAGCCTGAGAACTGGGGGGGCCTTGGCTTTCCTGTTCCAAACTTAGAAGGCCAGGCTCCCTCAGCCTGGGATGTGGCTGTTGGAATTCAAACTGCTCCTCAAAGACCCCAGTCCTCCCATCCCCTAGGAAAGCTCTCCCCTTAGAGCCATAGCAATGAGCCATTCCTTTGTATTAATCACTGTAATTTCATGTTTTTTTTTTTTTTTTCTGAGTGGAAGAGTAAACATTTAGCCGTTAATACTTCACTATAAATAAATATATGCAATAACTTTCTTCCTTCACAGGACAGACAGATTGGGCAGCATGAAAATACCAGGTAGCTGATGGAAGTGCTAAAATTTGGTAGAAAGAGCAGGAAGGACACTCAGATGGACCGAGTTAAAATTCACCTACTTTATAGTTTTGCCTAGGGTTCATCCTTAGAGGAGAATCTGAGAGGCAAGGGCTGCAATTTGGGAGATGAAGGAAGGAGCTTGTTGGATCATCAGTGTTGTTCTCGAGAAAGTTTGAAATGGATTCTCTCCACTTTCCATGGAAGTGCCTGAGCTTCTTATCCTGAGGTCGTCTTAGAGGGCAGGGGCTCTGCAGCTGAAGAGTGGGCCTTTAGTTCAGGGCTATAGCTGTCTGAGCTCTGGACTGAGTGATTTGGGTGGCCATCCTGAGAGGTACAGTCTGGGCTTGACCAAAGTCAGTGTGGACAGGGAAGACCACATGGCCTCTGGTGGGATGGGGAAGTGGAGGCTTTCCCAAAAGACAGTCTGCCTGTGGAATATGTGAAAAACAGCAGCTGGGTAGCTCAAAGACACCTGTTAAGAACTGTGTCCTGGGACTGAAGCCAGCTCTTGAGATGTCAAGAAAGGGAGCTGACTTGATAACCAACAGCCTGTCACAGAATCTCAGAACCTCTGCTCTTCACCACTTTTTCTTGCCTCCCTCACCCCTGCCCTAGACCTCGCTGTGCTTGGCACTGCCTGGGTGACAGAGGAGACTGAGCACTCCCTCGACGTGGAGTGGGAAAACCCCTCGACCGAGGTGGACTACTACAAGCTGCGATACGGCCCCATGACAGGGCAGGAGGTAACTGAGGTCACTGTGCCAAAGAGCAGTGACCCCAAGAGCCGATATGACATCACTGGTAAGAGCCATCACTGGAATGTGGGGTGTTTGCTGTAGATGCAGAGGTGGGGATAGTGTGTGCAGAGAGCACTGGCATCTGCACTGCTCAAGTGTGCTCAGAGAGTCCAGGGGCCTTAGGAATCACACTTGAATCCGATCCTTGAATCTGCCAGACGTAAGCCCACCCGGGAGGCCTGTAGACTCTGTCCCAGCACTTCCAGAACTCGATCCCAGAGCACCTTTGTTAACAGATGATATTTGGTGAGGTGTTTCTCCAAGTCAGAGAAACTCTCTTTGAAACCCTGTCTGTGTCTCGAGGATGGATTTGATGGTGTATAGTATTTCCTTTTAGAGAACGTGTGTATTGGGTGTGGAGTCAAGAGGGAGAGAGAAGGAGGAGAGAGAGAGAGAAGAAGAGGAGAGAGGAGAGACAAGATTGAGATTGGTTTGTTGAGCATTGGATGCACCGGAAGGGTTTGTGTTAGGGAGGGTGGGAGCGAGGGCAGGTGCAGTGAGCAG